TCATCTTGTTTTGAAATTCTGTATTTTTTATTGTTTTTGTGGGTTTTTTTGTCTTTGTTATTTTGTTATTTTGTTTTTGTTCTTTTCCCTTTAAAATTAAAAAAAAAAAAAAAAAGACCTGAGGCATTCAGTTTCACAGCACATGAAGTTGGATTAAAACAATTTCATTACACAAGTCTCAGGTACAATCTAGTATAGGAAAATATAGATTTACTCTGAAGAACTTTAAATATGTTTACAATTTTATAATTGTGCATATGCACATGTGTGCACATGCACACCCACCTGAATGCTGAAGATCAAACCCAGGGCCTGGTGCATGTTAGGCAAGTGCTATAATACTGAACTGAACTGCTACCCGCTACAATTTTTTCAAAAATAGAAATGTCTGAACACAAGTAGTGACAAAGAAAGAAAAGAAGAAGAAACAAAGAATAATAAAAAAATAAAAAATACCCAGAAAAGCAAGGATACAAGACCACATGACTGAAAACCAAGAAAACATAGCCATAAATATGAGATTTTAATATATACATACATATATATTTCCCCATGGTTTCTCCCATAGATGAAAACTAAAGAAGAGGCTCTGAGAATAAAGGCCAGACTATTAGAGAAGGGGAAAGGGACTGGGGAGAGAGGGGAGGGCAAGAAAGTACGGTAGGGAAGGTGATCAAAGCATGGTCAATGGGTGTTTGGTACTGTCACAATGAAACACATTGATTTGTACTATTAATATGATTGAATAATTATAATAAATGAAGTAAACAAGAATAACCATGCTGACGTTAAAAAATACTATATTCAACACACCCTAGTGGCAGAGATGTAAGTGCCATATGGGCCTAGAAGTTCATAGGGAAGATAAGATCTTTAATGCAGAAAAATGAAGAGGTTATAAAACTACAAGGCAATTTTGTAGTGCTCTTTTTTTCTTCCTGGGAAACTGAATAAAAATTTTGTTTTAGAAATGGTCATCTAAGAGCCTTTAAGGTATTGGTCAGTGTCTTAGTCCATTCAAGCTACTATGATAAAATACCTTTGGCTGGATAATTTATACACAACAGAAATTCACTTATGACAGTTTTGGTTTTGGGGGGTACTGTTTTTGTTGGTTGGTTTAGGTTAGGTTTTCGTTTGGTTTCCTTTTTCATTGTTTTGTTTTGTTCTGTTTTGTTTTGTTTTTATGCTTACTTAGCATGCTCAATGTCCTGAATTCAGTTCCCAGTATCACCAAAACAATTTCTCACAGTTCTGAAGGCCAAGAACTGCTGGCAGTGTCTGGTGAAGGTCTGCTTCTTCATCCTTTCAGTGGGCCCTCACGTGGTAAAAAGGGGCTCACTAGCTCTCTTTGGTCACTTTTATTAAAAAAAAAAAAACCTGACAACAGTCAGTACTCTGAATATTGGATATAAAGTCAACCTCCTCCTTTTATCTTCTCTAGTCTTACAAATTTGGGGAAATTATTTAACTTCCCTGGGCCTCCCTGATAAAATGGAAACAACTTAAGGCAAAATTAGAGCATCAAGAAGCCTAATGAGTGCACATATTATGACAGTTTCCCTTTCCCCCAAGACAGATTCAGAGAAAAGGAAGTAGATTTGCCAAGAAGGGACTTTAGGCAAGATACAGTCAATCAATGTTGGAGGCTGCAATGCATATAAAAGTAGAAAAGATATTTAGAATGATGGAACTATGGTCCAAGAGGAGAGAGATCACAAAACAGAATAAGAAACTAGGTACAGATGCTGTGCAAAGAAACAAGGTTGGTTTGTCACCCCCTGAGCTACCCAACCTGGATTCTTTAAATCACTGACCTGAGATTCTAGTGAAGTGGCTCAAGAAACGAAGAATGAAAGTGTGCCAGACAGGGCGTCAAGTAACTCTTCCCACATACACTAACGCCAAGCAAAGTATCTAAATTTCATCTGGATTCCCATAGCACCCTGTTCATTTAAAGTGGTAAATAGTTAACAGTATTACTGTCCACCTCCCACTATACTACACATTTCTGAAAAACAAAGAAACAGTGTACTCTTCTTTGAATCAAAGCAGAGTAGAAGTACTAGGCTCACATTAAGGCTCTCCATAAATGTTAAATTCATGAAGACAAATGAAAGAATAAATGATGTAGTTGTGCTTGCAGAAGTCAGAGCTCTGGATGACACAGCCAGCCACTAAGTCATCTCCTCTCCAAACTGCACTTTGCCATCTCCAAATTTCTCCCCAAACCTACAGGAAGAAGCCCAAAGTCAAAGGGTACATTCCTTGCCTTCTCTTACTTCACCTAGAATATTCTACCAGTTGACTGATGTTAACCTGAATGTTGCTTCCATTCTGTTCTCCATAGCTGAGTGAAACCAGATTCTTAACAGTGACTGACAGCATGCCTTTGCTCTCCTGAAGCTCCAGCTCTGCCTTCAGATCGGAAACGGAGGTTAACTCTCCAGCCGGCTCGATGTTCAGATCTGAGATGCTGACTCATTTACTTCGTTCCAACCTCACATTTTCCATGAGAAAATGCCAATTCCTTCCAAATATTTAGAATCTGGTAAATCCTTGGTCTAGGCCACTATTATCTCTTGCTTAGATGACTGCATCCTGTTTTCAGGCTTGCACATTTGCCCTCTTGCATTTATTTAAAAACAGCAGCCAGAATGATCTTGTCTTGCTTCTGAAAACTCTCTATAAGCTCTCATCTCACCCAGAGGGAAATTCAAGATTCTTGTAGTGATCTTCAAGGGCCCAGGTTAAGGCTCTTTCTCTGGTTCTCCTCTAGTCATACCTCCTACCACTTTGGTTATAGCCTCCCTGGACACCCACTCCATCCTTCAGTGGACAGTAAGGCTCTTTCCCTCCCTCAGTTCCAACCCCTCTTCTCCAGAGACACTGGCCCTCTGCCTCATGTACCCCTCTATATTTTTCTTGTAGCGTGTCTCACCCCTATTATATTATTTAATCTGCTGATGTTATGGTCTGTCTTTCTCTGATCCAGATTATAAATCCTGAGAGACCAAAAGTCTGTTTTGTACATTTCTGTATCTCCAGCACTTAGAAGAAAGCTGGAATGAAATAAATGCCTGACAGAATTTTTTGTTGAGTACAAGAACAAATGTTAGATCCCTCGATAAGCCTATGGAAGAAGAGAAGAAATGTAGACTACAGATGATTAAGAATCAGTCCCAACCTTCAGGAGCTCTGAGCTTGGTACCCTTCCCTGCAGCACAAAAACAGATAGTTTCATAGGCCACAACAAACAGATTTAACCAGACAAGTGTAATCAAGCATATCAAATAACTGATTTCACTGTATTTGCTAACTCTTAACTTCGTAGATTAACCTTATTTCAGAGACTTGACATAGATCCCTTTGCTATAGCAAATTCAGATGTGACATGAATACCCAAACCCACACATATTTTCTTTTCCCCTGTTAATGGGAAGATTTCATGTGACCAAGTCTGATCTTACAAAGAGACACCAAGAGTTTCCTAGATGCCTGAAATGATTCTAGCCACTCCTCTTACACTCATCCCCTCAAAAATCCCTGCCCTGGTTCAGGAGAACCTGAAATTACACAATTCACAATTCATCGCCTCTGAAAAAGCAGGTCCCGCCCCAAGGAGAGCCACAGACAAAAGCGTTCCCAAGCAGGATTCCTTGTTGACACTGGTCTCTGGTTACACACCACAGAAAAAGGGAGGAAATTCTTCAAAGCCAGCGCCTCTCCACTTTTGTCTGTCCCCGGTAGAATCCCTTCCCCCCACTCCATTCTCTTCCAGAAGGGTCACTGTAGACTCAAAAGCAGGAGCGCTGTAGGAGGATGCATTTTCAGGTTACACACTATATATAGCTAAGGTAACTTATAAGTCCTGTCTTCATGTTACTCGCCTTGGCAAGGGTTTAGAGCCTTAAACAACTCATCTCAAGCATGTGCTTGTGAATCCCCTTTTGTGTCCAAAATCTTTCCCTGACCCAGACCCTGGGAGTCACCTTTTCTTCTTCTGGCCACTCCTGCTCACACTCTTTCAGCCTCTTCACAAAGCGTAGCCCTTTCCCAGGGCCCAAGTGGGCCCCAGAGTTGCACAGTACAGCTGACGTCTCACTGAGGAGTCCTTTCCTCTGACCCTTTGCAGCTTCCTGATTGTGCAGCTCCTGTTTTTCTGGGACAAACGCAAGGCCCTGGGTGAAGTGCCTTTGCCCACCTCACACCAACAGCACATTCCTCCCATCTGCCCTCACAATGGCCATCTTGGTGTCGCACCTTTCTCAACACAACCTATATATCCCTGGGCTGGGGTAAGATGGGCAGTATTATCATTCCCAGTTGAAGCCATACCAACTTCACCATTTTTTGGAGGAGAAACCTGAGACTCTGAAAGTAAAACCAGGAGCTAACTGTCAAAGAACCCGTTAGGGTTACAGCTAGGGCAGGAAACTGATTTCTTCACACTGGGCTCCTCCATCATCAGCCTCTTCACTTACGTTCTTTCAAGACCTTCTCTTCCTGTTCTTCTCTCCTCTTGCCATACATTTTGAATCTTTCTTAGGGAATTATCCCTTCCAGGGGTTCCTTCCCAGTCCAACCACTGAAACAACTCGGGAATTTCTCCTTGTCTGTTAGCTTTTCATCACTGGGACAAAATGCCTTGACATATACACAACTTAAAGTAGAAAAAAGTTTTAGAGGTTTCAGACAACCATCCGCTGGCTCCCTTGCTGTAGGCCTGTGGCCAATCAAAACATCATGGCGGGAGGCCATAGCAAAGGAAAGCTGCTCACCTTGTGGAAGCCAGAAAGCAGAGAGAAGGAAAAGGGCAGAGAGAAAGGGGTCCAGGACTAAATAGTGTCCTGATGGTCATACCCCATGACCTACTCAGATGCAATGAGAAGTGTGCTTTACAGATCTCTTAGGTACCTCACGAGCTAATCAAGTTGACAGGAATAATCATCACACTTTTTACATGTGAGCTCAGAGGCCCGTTCCCCCAGGATCCTCACCTTCAGCTAAGTTCAGACCCTTCTTTCCCTTTGTGCCGTGTGGCACGTTATAATCCTAAGGGAATTTGCCACTTCCTAGAGCATGTCTGTGTACAGTAGCCCAGCGATGATGCCACAATACCCTGTGATATCGTGTGGGACGGCGAGTTATTTTCTTCTTCTCCTTCTCCTTCTTCTTTTTCTTTTTGCATATGCAGAAATGAGATGCTAGGTGATAAATGATAGAGCCCAGAGTTAGGGTCATTCTCTTCTCCACTCCAAAGATGTCTTATTCTCACAGCTTACTTCCTCCAGGGACTGACACTTAGGACACCATTCTCACCCAACTTTTTCCTCTGTACAATCATCCCTTGGACTTGGTGTCAATTTCAAAGTTTCCAAATGTACGTATTTACAATATTTTTTCCTAGACCTCTCCCTGCCTGCATGGGACCTCAAGAACCTTAACACCTTCCTCTGCCTGCCTTGCTCACTAAAGCATGCTGTCAGAGTTCAAGGGTCACAACTCTGAAATCAGACAGATCTATCCTTAAATCCTGGCTCTGTCTCTTTTCTGCACTATGATTTTCCTTTTTTTTTTTTTTTTTTTTTTTTGTACCAGGGATCAAACTCAGGACCTTGTGCTTGCCAGGCAGGCGCTTATGCCACTGGGCTATAACCCTGGCCTGCACTATGATCTTGAGCAAGTTATTTCACTTCTGTGAACCTTAGTGTCTTCACTTGTAAATTGAGAGTATTACTACCTGCGTCATGGGGCATTGAGAAGACAAAGGAAGAACACTTGGCACATAAGGTCTACTATGCATGAGCACTCAGCTGAATATTAGCTATCATCACTGCTACTGTTTGCATCTGGAGTGTTCCTCAAAGACCCATGTGTTAAAGGCTTGGCCCCCAAATTAGAGAGAAGGTGAAAACATTTAGAGATGGGGTCTA